CAGTAGGCCTACAGCTCTTTAGTAACTGTGAAGGCAAAACCAACAAAGGAAAATGAGAAACCTAGAGAACTAAAGGCAGCCTGATTGATAGCTGTCCAAGATGGCACCCAAGCCAAAACAGAAGTCCAGTGTTGACAAATGGCACACCCGTAAGGAAAGATCCAGGGTAACCTTGCAGTTATCTTGTGATGTTTTTAGGGCTCAATGTCCCCGCGGCCCGGTCCTTGACCAAGCCTCCTCGTTGCTGGACTGGTCAACCAGGCTGTTGGACGCGGCTGCTCGCAGCCTGATGTATAAGTCACAGCCTGGTTGATCAGGTATCCTTTGGAGGTGTTTATCAAGTTCTCTCTTGAACACTGTGAGGGGTTGGCCAGTTATGCCCCTTATATGTAGTGGAAGTGTGTTGAACAGTCTCGGGCCTCTGATGTTCCCCAGGCCTCTGATGAGGGTAGGTGACATAAGCACAGTCATGAAGCATAATTAAAAACTATCAAAGCATTATGATCCCCAGCAGCAGTAATGGTTCAAGAAAATCTAGTACCACCTAGCAAAAGAACAAGAAACATGGAAACATAGCTATAGACAACAGGAAGAAGAGTTAAAGGGCAGAATGCTGAGGTTTCAGTTGACATAAGCAGTCAGGCACATTACACTACAACATTGATCATTTGTCTTGTTTCCAATGAGTGACCATTTTCCTTCAAGCACAGGTACAGTACTGTACTTGTTTTGTTGTAGCTATGCATTCTGGTGGCTTTTTATCATTTTGTGGTCGATTTCTTATACCCTACTTCCCGTGCCTTATTGCGAGCCAAATTCTGGTTCCTGCTCCTAGTAGGCGATGGATGAATTTAAATGGTCTGGTGTTTTGCTCTACCGTTACCTTTCAGTTACCTTTTGTAGGTTCTGAGGAGCAATATCCCCATGGCCTGGTCTCTGACCAGGTCTCCTGGTTGGTGGTACTATATATGCTCAGGAAGTCACTGAAAAGTTCATCCCTGAAAGCATATCGGTGAATTAGAAAAGGTACAGACTTGCTGCTAAATAGCTCCCAGACTTGCAACACAAGAGCTGTTAGGAGAGGCTGAATGCATTAAGGAACTCAAAAGTAAGAGACAAGATAAAGAAATGCTATAATAACAACATGCAAAATTGTGACAAGTATTGATGAAGTTGATAAAAGAAATTTTGTAAACCCACATTAAGAACAAGAGGCCAAAGTTTCAACCAAACAAAATAAATGGACCCCACAAAAAATTTTAAAAATTATCTTTTGAGAAAAGAGTTGAAACACATAAAATAAATTAATGAGAGGATAATAAATGTCAAAATAATGACAAGTTTTAATATGTCTTACAACATTGATTAGAGGGTAGACAATTCACCATAAATGTAGCTCACATCTTGTAAATACACAACCCATCCTCCTGTTTTGGTAGTATTTATAGTAATGATGAGGACCATAGTATATATATTGACATACGGTGAAACCTCGAGTGACGAGTGACTCCAGTTACGAGCATTTCGAGTAACGAGCGAGTCACTCGCAGAAAATTTGTCTCGACTGAGGAGTTTTTGCTCAATTAACGAGCAAACCACATGGTGCTTCCTAGCGTTCCCGCTGGTTCTCGGACACCTCCAACGACAGTGTTGTGGTTGTTTCGCAAGACGAACATTTCACATGACGAGCTCGGTGCAGGAACGGATTAAATTCGTTAATCGACGCGCCACCATACAACAAAATTTGAACTATTGAGTTGGACAAACTGGAAAACTATTTTTTACTTGTGTTGCTTTGACAAATTAAACTAACCTATTCTAACCTCCCTAGGCCTAGTACACAATATCTGAGGCCTAATATATTACATATGTGTGCTATACTGCACTAGGCCTAGGAATATTTAAGTTAGTGTTTTAGCTTCATTTATTTTAAAAGAATTCCTTACTATTCAGTATATTGTACTACTATCTAAAAGCTAAGAACGTACGAATTCTGACTACAGTATTGACGATCGTCACAATAGATACTATCTAAACAGGAGGATGGGTTGAAATACACCTGGGTATTATACACATACATACCAACACATTTTCTCAAATTGACACTCTCTAAAACAATCAAGTGTTTTGTCTGTCCAGACCCACCCACCTACATACACAATACTCTTATGAACAAATTGACAACATTTGTACATGCCACACTTGTTCATACTATCCATCAACATCCCATGTGTACACTATCCAACAATGCTGTTTGTGCACACTATCCACCAACACCACTTGTGCACACTATCCACCAACACCACTTGTGCACACTATCCACCAACACCACTTGTGCACACTATCCACCAACACCACTTGTGCACACTATCCATCAACACCACTTATGCACACTATACATCAACACCACTTCTGTACACTATCCATCACCACCACTTGTGCACACTATCCATCAACACCACTTGTGCACACTATCCACCAACACCACTTGTGCACACTATCCATCAACACCACTTGTGCACACTATCCACCAACACCACTTGTGCACACTATCCACCAACACCACTTGTGCACACTATCCATCAACACCACTTGTGCACACTATCCAGCAACACCACTTGTGCACACTATCCACCAACACCACTTGTGCACACTATCCAGCAACACCACTTGTGCACACTATCCACCAACACCACTTGTGCACACTATCCATCAACACCACTTGTGCACACTCTACATCAACACCACTTCTGTACACTATCCATCACCACCACTTGTGCACACTATCCATCAACACCACTTGTGCACACTATCCATCAACACCACTTGTGCACACTATCCATCACCACCACTTGTGCACACTATCCATCAACACCACTTGTGCACACTATCCATCAACACAACTTGTGCACACTATCCATCAACACAACTTCTGCACACTATCCATCAACACAACTTGTGCACACTATCCACCAACACCACTTGTGCACACTATCCACCAACACCACTTGTGCACACTATCCACCAACACCACTTCTGCACACTATCCATCAACACAACTTGTGTACACTATCCATCAACACAACTTGTGCACACTATCCATCAACACCTCTTGTGCACACTATCCATCAACACCACTTGTGCACACTATCCATCAACACCACTTGTGCACACTATCCATCAACACCACTTGTGCACACTATCCATCAATGCCACTTGTGCACACTATCCATCAACACCACTTGTGCACACTATACATCAACTCCACTTGTGCACACTATCCATCAACACCACTTGTGTACACTATCCATCAACACAACTTGTGCACACTATCCATCAACACCACTTGTGCACACTATCCATCAACACCACTTGTGCACACTATCCATCAACACCACTTGTGCACACTATCAATACCACTTGTGCACACTATCCATCAACATCACTTGTGCACACTATCCATCAACACCACTTGTGCACACTATCCATCAATGCCACTTGTGCACACTATCCATCAATGCCACTTGTGCACACTATCCATCAACACCACTTGTGCACACTATCCATCAACACCACTTGTGCACACTATCCATCAACACCACTTGTGCACACTATCCATCAACACCACTTGTGCACACTATCCATCAACACCACTTGTGCACACTATCCATCAACACCACTTGTGCACACTATCCATCAACACCACTTGTGCACACTATCCATCAACACCACTTGTGCACACTATCCATCAACTGCCACTTGTGCACACTATCCATCAACACCACTTGTGCACACTATCACTTGTGCACACTATCCATCAACACCACTTGTGCACACTATCCATCAACACCACTTGTGCACACTATCCATCAACACCACTTGTGCACACTATCCATCAACACCACTTGTGCACACTATCCATCAATGCCACTTGTGCACACTATCCATCAACACCACTTGTGCACACTATACATCAACTCCACTTGTGCACACTATCCATCAACACCACTTGTGTACACTATCCATCAACACAACTTGTGCACACTATCCATCAACACCACTTGTGCACACTATCCATCAACACCACTTGTGCACACTATCCATCAACACCACTTGTGCACACTATCCATCAACACCACTTGTGCACACTATCCATCAACACCACTTGTGCACACTATACATCAACTCCACTTGTGCACACTATCCAGCAACACCACTTATGTACACTATCCATCAACACAACTTGTGCACACTATCCATCAACACCACTTGTGCACACTATCCATCAACACCACTTGTGCACACTATCCATCAACACCACTTGTGCACACTATCAACACCACTTGTGCACACTATCAATACCACTTGTGCACACTATCCATCAACATCACTTGTGCACACTATCAACACCACTTGTGCACACTATCAATACCACTTGTGCACACTATCCATCAACATCACTTGTGCACACTATCCATCAACACCACTTGTGCACACTATCCATCAACACCAATTGTGCACACTATCCATCAACACCAATTGTGCACACTATCCATCAACACCACTTGTGTACACTATCCATCAACACCACGTGTGCACACTATCCATCAATGCCACTTGTGCACACTATCCATCAATACCACTTGTGCACACTATCCACCAACACCACTTGTGCACACTATCCATCAACACCAATTGTGCACACTATCCACTAACACCACTTGTGCACAACTTGTGCACATTATCCATCAACACTGCTTGTGCACACTACCCATACACATCCCTTATGCACTCTAGCCATGCACACCCCTTGTGCACACTACCTATGCAGACAACCCCACCAAATGCACTGTATTAACAATTATATGGGTCTTACGTTAGGCTTATAATTAACAACTGTAACTGGCCGAGTCTTAAAAATTCATTGCTGTATTTGATGTTGTGAAATGTGCTTTTACAACTTTGAATGTTGTATGAAATAGTATTTGATATTATTGCAGGATGCCCGTGCCCCCGGCCATGCTGCGTGGTGGGCGGGGAGGGGGTCGAGGGGGCGGTCGCAGTGACTATGGTAAGTGGTGGAACTATTACAACTATTACTGGGGTCCAAGACCACAAAAGAACACAGGATACAACTATTACTGGAATAACTACAGTTGGTACTATTGATTACTCATCAATATGGGACCAGAACATCAAGTACTGTAATTATAATTTTCAAATAATGGTGCTGAGAGTTGTATATATGACTGTCCCAGTGATAATGCTGTGCTTGTTTATATTGCCATTTTGAATTACAAGCCTAATGATCTCACTCCTTTTTGGGAGTGGCATTACTCCTGTTTATAGCCACTGTTGACAAGCTCTACTTAAGAACTTTATTTTTTGGACAAAGTGATAGACTAGACATTAAGGTACAGGGACAGGCCCCTGTATTAATGGAATAGGCAAATTGAGCTTAATATTGCTCTTAAATATTTAACTGTATATGCATGGATTGGCTTGTTTTGTTTGTAATTTTTTCTTATGTTATATTGGCAATACTTGCTAAAAGTAGTTATGTATGAAATTTTATGTTAACTAAATTTGAAGACTTCCCTGTATCATAATATATGAAAAAATAAACTAGTTGTCATGGAATTGACTTGCTCTTCTTCCCTTCAACTTCCTGGCCCCAATTGCTTTTCAGAGGTACCTGGTAGTGGTCCTTTGAAGATGCAGTTTGTGCAGTTGTCTCTTGATACTCTGGCTTATTCGTTGCATTCTTTAGTTACAAGTATCATGTGTACAGACACTTGTCCTGTAAATCACCAAAACAGATCATTTTTTATTGATTAGTTCTTCCCGGCATGCCCTCTTTAGTATATATATAAAGTATATTTGATGTTAGTAAGAAATTCAATTTTACTGTTATTAGCTATCAACAACATTTGGTATTATTTCTAGATTATGATTACGACTATTATGGTTATGGCGATTATCAAGGTGGCTACAGTGACCCGTATTACGACGACTATTACCGTTATGAAGATTACTATTACGATTACTCCCCGTATCCTATGGGGCGTGGTCGCACCAAATCAGTGCCGGTGGGTCCCAGTGTCCATTCTCAGTTACTGTAGTATTGAAGTGTCATACATGGCGTGGCCTCACACTCCATACCAGTGCCTGGATGTTGAGGCTTGTCTAGTGGGTCAGAATTCATCTCCAGAGTCGTCTTTCTTGTGGCTGCATGACAATTTCTTTTATGGCCTATGAAAAGTTGAGAGCATGATTCTTTATTCTTGACCTTGCCTTACTAAGTGATAATCTTGAAATTTTACATACTAGTAGGTTTCAGAGCAGATTCTATGTTAAATACCTCCATGAATTTCCTTATTTAGCAGTGTTATTGATAGAGTGAAAAGAGAAAACAAATTAGAAAAAGAAAAGAACAGAGGAGCAAAATCTATGCACTATACTACTGACTTAGACAGTGGACTACACTATGCAAATAGTTTCTATGATTTTTGTCCAAGCACACTCAAATCTTCCCTAACTGGCAAAAGTGGATGGCTCTTGATCTATTGTGTTACAAGAGTCTGTGCACTGAGTCTTAGGTGGTTAGAAAGGTAGAAAGGTTTGTTACAAGCATTTGGGAGCTGTGGAAGTGTGAGGCCACGTTTTGTTGGGTCCCATGCCTGAGCCAGCATTACAGCAGCTCGGGGCTATGGTGGCTAAAACATGGCCGGGAAGAAGATTAACGATTCTCATGATAATGTATGATAATAGAGTTTACAATAGCACTACAGACTTCAGTAGCTCAGCAAGAATCACTACTTGGTACCATGCCCCGTGCCGTACCATTCCTGGTGCTAACTTGTCCCCAGTTATTTCTAGAACCCCGTTATGCACCACATCTCTGGCTCAGGGATGGTGACTCGTACTTTGCTTTAGTATTTATAGAGCCTTTTCAAGCTTACTGCATACTTGCTGTCATAATGCTTACCTCATTATCGAAGTCACAGTTTTATCTTGAACATTACTGCATTGTTGAGGGAGGTTGACCACTGATTGTGGGTTGCCTTGTGCTTTCAGGCTGGCCGTGGGTATGGTATGGCGAACCGTGGCCGCGGCGCTGTCCCTTCCCCCCGTGGGGGGCGGGGTATGGTGCCCCGAGGGGGGGCCATGGGGGGGCGTATGACTCGGCCGCCGCGCGCGGGGCAGGGGTTCAGAGGGTCCGCCAGGGGGGCAAATCTAGCAGGTGAGTCTTGAGCCGTCACTCCCTTGTATCTTGTGCCTACACCACCAACACTAAAAGATCATGTTTCATAGTGTGCCATCACTTGATGAGAAATAGGCCAGGGGAAAGCCTGTGATGCATATAATTCTTCCATTGTAGAGATCAGTCAGATAAGTGAGATGAAGCTTGATCCATTACAGGTAAAAGAAAGTTGGATGGCGGGCACCAGAACGAGGGGGACTCAAAGAGACGGTTCCAGAACACCGGTGCTAGCTGGGGGAACCAGCCTATCCCACAGCAGCCGCTGAGCTCATACAGTGGGGCCAACGGCAGCAAGTACGGCGGGGCAGGCGGGGACCAGCAATGGTACCACGACAGCTATCCACAATCGTGGAGCTGAGGTGTAAGCGGGTGGGCCGCCAGCGCCAGGTGTAGAGGGTGGGGCGGGGGCATGGCGGGGCTCAACTCTACCAAGTACAGTATGTTGGTCTGTCCAGGAAAGCCTGTTATCAGGCTGAGAAGGACATTCCTGCCATTTGTATGTATGGGAGAAGTATCGGTGCTAGCATCAGATACAGGGCCCATGGATGATGGCCGCCCCACCAGTGCTGCGTCAGTGGGGCCTGGAGAGGGCCGGCTGCCAATTCCCGGTTGTACCTTTGTCTGGCCGGGGTGAGGGGCCGCAGTCCACCCCACCAGTGAGACATGTACCTGAAAAACATCTCCACCATACCCAAACCCACCAGGTCAGTTGGGTAATAAAACATAACTAAATCTAGTAGGAGGAAGTCTCACAAGAGTGCTGCTCTAAATTTAATCACTGTTAACCACTAGGATGAATAAAAGCCAAACTGTATTCATAAAATTTCAATCCAAGTGGTTTTAATGAGCAGGCTGTTTTATTCCCGCTTACTTTGTGTTTCACATGCAATCTTCTTGTCTTTCAATAAAATCTAAAAGAATAGATCCCATTACAAACCTCTAATATGTCCAGCAGTTTGCCCCCCTAGTTCTGGAGACTAATCAATTCAGTGGAAATGGTTAGTGGAAAAATAGCTGCCCAAATTCCTGTATTAGAATTGATGTCAGTGCTACAACAGCAGTACCATTTCCTATTATTCAGGTGTGTCATCAATAAAGATTTTGCCTTCCTCTTCTTCATGAAGTATGATACAAGGTCATTCATAAAAGGGGAAATTGCCAATGGAATTTTCTTGTTTATTAGCATTCATAAGCAAATTACCAAAATTATAGCAGCATCAGAACCTCCATCCTGTTTGCCCCATATTACACTGTTTATACATATTTTTTTCCCCAAAAGGCGGTCCTGCATGCATATTTCAGTGACCACACTATTTTCTTTTGATATCCCTAAATGCTGTGTCCACTGAATAACTCTTGAACCTTGCTACTTGATTTGTAGTTCTTAGTTGGCATTAAGCAGATGCTCAGTGCAAGATTGATTCAATGCTCGTGAACATATTGGAATGTTGTCAGAAACCAATTCAATGGAACCCAATAATTTAAGATTTAACCCATATAGGTATTGCAGTATTTGTGAATTCAAGCATGATTTTTATGGATTTTCTTATGTACTAATTAGAAAGATCCATATCCAGTGATTGTAGACTGATTGAGGTGATTGCTATAGACTGATTGGTCTGAAATTAAATTTGTTTGGATCTGTACACATCTGGATGCAAATGCTACTCATGTGATCTGTGGAAGGGTGACCAGTGTATGAGACACATTGCCAGTCACAGGGAAAGATTTGGTGTGTTTGGATGACAAAGCAGTTATCTTTGGTGGAGATTGGACCAACTGGCTGTGACTAATTTGCGAAGACTTGAAATGTAGAGTTTATTGTGTGTGTTATCTAGGGGCTGTCAAATGGAGAATGCCTGGAATCTGAAATTGATTTTTCAGTTTTCCAGATTCTCAGTCCTTTGGGACAGATTGTGGTTCCTGATAATGAATTGTTGTATTCATAGTTATAAGAATTTCTTGTGATAAGTAAACCAGAGCTAGCTAATAGATGCTCATTTTTTTTAAGTATCATTGTATGGTAATTGGACAGCACTCTTACATAAGTTGTGCAAAAGCTATTTTTTTTTTTATATAGAATTCATTTAAGTCATATATTTAAAAAAAATGTTATTACATAATTTAAATTTATTATTATAAGTTTGTTCAGGCAAAAAATATGTATTTCTAAACAGGTATCAATTATTCTCATTTAATTGGCTAATTGCAGTAAGGCATTTTTATTATATAATGCTGTGCCTCCGTCAGTACAGATGAAAATAGGTTACAGTAGATTTTAATTGGATCCTCAAGTTTCTAGACTTGTGATGACCTTGGACCAGACTAAATATACTACATACTGAGAATTGGCACTTTAATGAGTTCAATTTTACTCATATATGTCTTGTTAAAAAAAAAAAAGTTGAAGGTGATTTAGTGGAAATTAGATGTATTTTTAGCTAATGCCAGATGTGTAAATTGAGTTTGCCAGTTGTGGTGTCAGCTACATGTATGGGGAAAAAAAATAATAACCAAAAAAAAAAAACTTGAAGAAAAGATACATTAGCTTTTGGTGTGACTTTGAGGCTTGCAGCATCACTCCACTACATCTGTCGTCACCATGAGGAAGGTGGGATGGTGTTTATTGCATGCTAAAAAGATCACATTATCCACTCTTACATACTCAACATATCTGGGGCATTAGACATTGTTTTATGTGTTTTCCTGCTTAGTGAGTGGGTAATGTTGACAATAAATTTTTGTAATAGTGACAAAGAAATTATATAAAAAAAAAATCAAATTTTCAATAATGAGGAAAAATGTTACATTTACCTAACTCTTGTAGCTATGGACAACACACTGTGCTTCATTTTAATTGATTATTATATTTTCTAAAGTGTATATGTAGTAAAAAAAATTTATATATTCAAAAGTGTATAGTAAATATTCATGAACATAGTGATATATTCTAAAGAATATAGGCAAATTTTTCTCCAATATAGTGTTGTAGTGCTCTGGGACATCATAAGATATTGAAAGTGCATGCCATGTTTTACTGAGAAATATGAGACATTAGCTATTTCTAATGAATAATTTTTAATATACCATCAATCAATGGTAGTAGGTTTGCAGTGTGTATTATGGTAATGGCTGGAAATGGTCTTTAGCAAATGAGTGCTTGTGACCATTGGAGTCATTGACAATGCATTATCTGCAGTAGTATTTTAATTCTCAGACAAAGACTTGCCTCTTCAATACGTTTTGTTCAGCCAGTTTTGATATGGCATACCTTAAGTATGGACACTTGACTTTGGTAGGACATTTTACCTTTATTTTATCTACCGTACCGTCGATCACACAACGTCCACAAAGATTTGTTAAAGAGTTTGTCAGGAGATATTGGTGATGTATGCCTGTACTGTACACTGTAAGGTTAGTATGTTCAAGAGGTGGTTGCCTTAGCCAAGAGGACTGAAGGGAGGTTGTACCACAAGCTGGATCTTGGGAGTCCGAGACTCAACTGTACCCAGTGATTGAATGGAAGTAAAGGAGATTTCCATTGGTTTATGTTTTTTGTTTTCACCCTTTCAAAAAAAAAATCTACAAGTTATACAACAGATGGTAAGGTAGAAATTAAATTTATTTTATTAAGTTTCCAGAATGATGTTTTGGCATAATTTGTAAGTATGTAAATTCTCTTCAGTTTTTTTAAGGTTGTTAAAACCTTTTTTTTTTTTCCTCATAATTATGTGTGGTCATTAGAGCCTCGAGTTATATTTAAATAAATTATTTACTGTTTGAATGAAACTTCATTCAGTATTCCCACATGAAGTGGGAAGAGTTATTACTAAAAGGTATTTATGTCATGTGAAAGTATCACATTTTTGCTCTGCACTGCATTATTTAAATATGGAATTTGATACTTTGTTATGTTATTGAGTAAATCATTTTAATCTTGAAGGACATTTAACAAGTATCAACACTGAAATTGTACAGTAATATTCTATGCCTTGCCCCCTCATACATAACAACAAAATTCTTATCATATTGTTTATTACCATTCAGAAAGAATAAATGTCATATTAATTCTCTATGTGCTTTGATTGGCTGTGGAGAAGTCATAAGGTTGGCCACTTTTGGTAGCTGGAGGACTTGCTTGCTGCTCAGCCAGCACAATAATAAGTGGCGCACCCACCTCCCAATTTCTCTTTCAATTTTATTTTCTTATTTCATGCTTATATTTTTTAAATAGTCAAATGATATATTGTATTGTCACTAGTGATTATAATGTTTCATATAATGTGCAATGTGCATACAAATACACCTTATGTGTGTCTCATTATGCACACAACCTATATTTTGTCCTATCAATATTTACATGAGCATAAGTCTTACAGTTGCACATAGGACACATTTTACATGCAAATATGTACATGGACAACACCAATTTGTTGTTTTTAAAGGGTTTGGAGAGTGATAATCAGAGGTACAGTCAAGTTACAAAGTGCAATGGCATTACATTCTTGTTGCACCATGTGTCAGCAACATGCATTTCTGTTCCCAGTGCTAATTGTCTTGCATAAAAAGCATTGCTTTGCACTGCAACAGGTGGTAGGTAGTCAATGTAGTATCATGACAATTCTCCTTTCCAAAGACTGTCAGGTAGATATCGTGTATGGTACTAGGCCTACTTGTGCTGGTTGTGCTGGACCTTGCTTGCACCACAAACACTTAATAGATCAAGCACCAAGATCACAATTATACATTTTCATCAGAATCATATATTGTAGTATCAAATATGCTCCAATTGGTTGTGAAATTGTCTGCAGCATTCCACAGCTTTGTGTCAAGGTGTTGCCACACCACCTCACTTCCTCAGGCTGATTTCTCTTACTGGAATTGAAGATCGTTCTCTCTTCTGATGTACATTATTCAGGATTCCAAAATTTATAAAACCCACAATAATATTATTTTCATCAAATTTAGTATCTATTGGTGTAATATTGGTTCCACTTGAAAATACATTTCTCTCCACCACAATTGATATATAACTTACAAAATTATCATCAATAGCACCTACAATCAGTACAGATTGCAATATTAATATTTTTCATACAATTTAGTAGCCTGTGAAAGCAAATTATTTTAATAAACAAAAAACCAACATTGAATGTAATGAAACGCCATTTTCTGGGTGAGCCTCGGAGGCTCCCTAAAGCTATCTGAACTGATAATGTGCTATATTAGTTTGAGGTCATCAGTCACAGGAGTCCTTTTGCCTACCAGGGACCACGGGCCGGAACATGGGCCTACTCAGAGAGGCGCAGGGAGCAATGGCCCATGACCACTTTACATTAAAAGTATGTCATAATTGCCATCGACCGGGGAGGGCACCCAGAAAGAAACAAAACAGACCACAATCTGGTGAAATTTGCAACCTATGTCCAAAAAGTGCAAAAGAACTCCCCCTGAAAGAAAACAAACACGCAACATTTCATCCAACTTGCACTCCTACGTGTTATTGCTCCCCCCCACCCCCCCACCCCCCCCCACCCTAAAGCGGAGATGGGGAGCTGGTAGCCCACCACCATAATTCTTGAATGATGAAGACCGCAAACCAGAGGGAGGGTGTCAGGGCTCACCCAGAAAATGGCATTTCATTACATTCAACGCTGGTTTTCTGTGGGGAGCTCTGTTGGCTTCCTGAAGCTAACTACCTACAGATAAGTAAAAACAGGGACTTGGCCAGGAAACGACATTACCGCACGTCTCAAGGCAAAGTAGAGACTGGCGGCCGCAACAGGATCCCCAATGCAACATAAGGCCGTAGAGGGCCTGGGATGTTCACGAGATACCTGGCGGCTAGGACCCTAGTCGACCTCCAAAACCCCCCCACACCCGAATATCAACCCGAGACATATTACAAAAGACAGCTGCAAGAGCAGTATATTTCCTCACATCATGAGTACGAGGGTAGACTGCAAGCTGGCTAGACTTAATTACACTGCAGATAGCCTGAAACACATAAGCCCTGGAACAGGGAACCAGGGGAAACTGGATCCACCCAGAGCACATCCACCATCACCGAATCAGTGGGCTGCAGGTAGCAATGTAAAGCCACCACCAGACACAGCACATGATGCAGCCCTGGCCTAACCAACCAAGCCTCCACAACCAATGGACCCTTCCAGAACCCAGTTGTCTCATTCTTCGCCAAAAAATAAGGAGAAGGCTGCAAACGAACAAAACAACCTCCTGGACCAAACAAACAGAACCCCTGGCGCCGGAGAAGAGCATGAAGCTCCCCAACCCGAACCCCAGAGGCCAAAGCTAACAAAGAAGGCATTCCCAAAGCAATCCTGTATCTTTGGGTCCACAACAAACTGAGGAAAAGAAAGAAAGGAAAGAACCTGGTTCAAAGACCAAGACAGCTCAGGCGGCACATTAGCAGGCCGGAGGTGAAAAAAACACGAGAGAGCTTCTGGAACGGAGCAGAAGTGACATCCATCTCCGAACACAAGCTGCAGCGGCTCCACCAATACCGCACGATTAGAAGCAACATTATTTGGCATAAGATGCCGTTCCAGGAAAAGCCAAGAGAGAAAGAACAAGACAACCTGAACCGACACATACAAAACCATACGAAGGGAAAAGAAATGGCAGAAAGACCGCCAAGAAACATCATATTGTTGCTGAGAGGAAGACCTCAGGTGGGACACCATCAAAGAAGCCACCTGATCACCATACAAATGGCAATACATCAGTGTCAGAAAACCCAGGCGCAAAGAGTGGAAGAGTAAGTCGAACCAGTGAGGTACCTTACCGGCTCGATCTGCTGAAAGAGGCAGAGCCGAAGAAAAACTCCCAGGTTTGGACACCGAACAAGCAGCGCCTAAAACCAAGACTGGGCCGGCCACCATGGGGCCAGGAGAATCATCCTCCCATGATGGGATTCCAGCTGAGCTAGAACCCGGAGCAAGAGCTGGACTAGTGAAAGTATACAGGAACCCCCCACCGCAACCTGTCCTGCCAAAAAGCGCCCACAGCAAGGGCCTCGCAGTTGGGGAAATACACCACATACAATGGCAGACGCCAAGACCATGCCGACGCAAAGAGGTGTAGCTCTGAACGCCTGTACGTCCAACAAAGCCAAGGGAAGGAGGCGGAGTCAACCGTCCACTTTGTGGAAAGAGGAATGAAGCCCAACAAGCCGTCTGCCAGGACGTTCGACGCTCCCTGAATGTGAACAGCATGGAGAGCTACCTGAGGTGACCAGCCCCAAAGAGCCATGGACCAAAGGGACATCCCCCGGATGTCCCTTTGAACCATGAGCAAGCATTCCGAATGGAGCCGGATCACCAAGCCCCAAGGAAGCCATATCCATCACAGCGTCTGTCACACCGCCACAAACTCCCGCACCGTTATGTGAGCCCGACGTAAGAACAGCCCCTAACGTCTCTGGCTGGACTGGTAAGCACTGGTCACAAAGCCCCAACCGAGAGATGAGGCATCTGTGAAAACATCAAGCGAGGGAAGAGAAAGGTGCCATGGCACTGAACCCTGAAAAATCACAAAGAGGAAGACTGTGACTCAGCATCTGGCTTAGCCACTGGGAGGTGCTGCTAATTATATCCAACAACACCACTGTGAGCAAAATTGATCACGCATATTTTGTCATAAAACCAAAATAAGCTAGCATGGTGACGCAAACAGCATCAATAACTTAAAATTTGTAAAAATTCCATTTATAGTCTGAATACTATGGGGCTTGTTTTAAAATGAGCGCCAACTTCTTCCCATTCTCAATATATCCCACATGGCATTTTGACCCACCGTGTGGGTGCCCACCCACGCTGTTCTCGTGACCTCGCTCGTGACAGCCGAGCCCTTCCCTCAAGTCGAAAAGTTCCCCATTCTGGTAATTTTATCTTGGGTATTTGTTGTTACTGGCTTTATAAACACTGCAAATTGATTTCCAGATAGATACTGATCAGAGGCTTAGGGCTCGTGCAGGAATAGCCCTGCAAAAAAAACAAAAAACAGAGCCAATCCATGATGTAAGAATTGAAAGAAACACGTATGAGGTAAACTTTATTGAGTGTTCGCCTAAAGTATTGAAATGTGATACTTATATGTTTTTATATGCACATATCCTTTTACAGCATTCTATTGCGAACAATTTCATAGCAAATTGAACGACGTAGCACGAAAATTGAGGTGAGAAAGCTGAAAAGAGAATAAACATTGGAGTGGTGAGCTTTCAGCAATGTTTGGGCTACCTTGCAGTATGCGGCGGATGTAAAGTACGGTGGTATCTTTGTTTTTTAATTTAATTCATTCCCAAAGACAGTTAAAAAACCAAAACAAATTTTCCCATAAGAAATGATGTGAATTGAATTAATCCGTTCCACACCTAAAAAACATTAACTTAAAAATACATAATTATATAAGAGCCTGACTGTGATAAAAGACTAGTGTTCAGATATCAGTGAACACAATGCTGTTCAAGATGTTCACAGCACTAGCCACAGCACACTGACATTGTTTGGTCCCACTAAGAATC